TTTTTCTTTTCCCACTTACAAGGACTAGTAAAAAAAAAAAGAATGAAAACTTCTTTGCGAGTTCCTCTATGTTTTTTATCATCGTAGACATCATCCAGAATTTTGCTTTGTCATGTCGAACAAAAGGCTCGTGACTCTCGCCAAACCTGTAAATCTCCACATTTTCAACTCGGGACAAGAGGAACTGGTTTGACTTCCTAAATATTCTTTGACATCATTGTTACTGTTGAAGAGTGAGAGACGAGTACTGTTGTTAACAAAGGGACACACATGTGACTCTTGCATCAGCCATTAGGAATTTTGTCTGACTTGCGGTAAAAAGTGTCCAACGGACTCCGATGTGAGAACGATGACTCGTCAGGCAGAGAAGCAGTGGGTGAACAGGTGCAACCACAAGAAGCATTTATCCCCCGAGTCTCGACTGCAGGTTGTCTCAACCTGAAACCACTAAGCACTAAATTAAATACACTCCATCGTTCAATTGTTTTGGTTTTTATAGTTAACATTATTCTGCAGATTTCTGATCTTTTAAGGTCCAGTCACAGCCTTTCGATAAAGTTCAGGTGTTCTTTTTCAGGTATTTTCTTGGAAATTGATTGCGTTTCGTATCATTTTCTTGTTTATGACCCGGTTTTATTTACAGAAGATTTAGCTAGACTGATTAGTTTTTGCTCGGCTCTATGCGTGCAAGGTGCACAGGTCATGTGGTGCAAAACGAGGCCAAATCACCACCCCTCCACCACTGTGCTCCGTAGCCGAAATGCTTTTAGTGTTTACCTGACTGACATACTGTGAGCAATTATACAGAAGCTCCATTTGAGCCAGGGTTTCAGACATCATGGGGTTCATTTAGATTCAAGTCATGCTGTCAAATTCCTTTCAGAGAGACGTTTTTTCTCCCAGCAACCTTTGAAAACGAGCCATACTTGTCCGTCTGTTTCCTGTTTGTACTGTCATGCACTTTAACCACCCGCCTGAGGCCTGCAGAGTCCCGAGTGCCTTTAATCTTTACGTTATCTGACCTTGAAGTGAATTAACTCTCTGATGTCCGTTGTCGGGATGGCTGCAGATTGTCTTAAATATTTTCCACTTTTATGGAGATTAGCTTAACTCTTGCTTTCTAGATATTATGCTAAAGCCCACATTTAGCCACAGACCAACACAACTGCAGTAGCGAGGCTGCATAAGTTCAAACAAAGAGGTATTTGTTGTCAAAGTACTTCCACAGAGGATTTTGTTGAGCAGTCCAGGTATCACCTTTCTTTGCAACAATATCTCTCTTCTTCCGTCTCTTTTCTGAGATCCTGAAACTTTAAGATTTGTCTGACTTCTAACCTGTCAGATACTCACTCCTGCATTTCACACCCTGTGTTTTCCCTCTGAAAGTGGAGGTCCCTCGCCAGGGTTTAGAGGAAGAACTAATTGAGCCCATGGGGAGGAAGATGCAGGGAACAAACATGCCTCATTGTTTATCTGGAGAAGAATAAGAGGATTATATGTAGTTTTATTGTAAACAAATGTTTTACCGATAAGCAAAACAAAAATGTGAATAGTTTTTGTTGAAATGTTATTTAAAAAAATATGTTTACCTGGGTTTCTCCACAATGACAAATTAATAATTATATGACTAGTAATTTGATAGATGGCTTTTAAAAATTGAATGCTACAATTAATGTATGGAATTAGATTTAAGCTGGGTAATTTCCCATGTTTATGGGAGCATCACGGCACATCAACCTGAACGCCACATGTGCAAGCTGAAGCACGGTGGTGGCAGCATCACACTGTGGGGATGCTGTTCTGCAAGGAAAGGATGAATGGGGCCAATTACAGGGAGGAAAATCTGTGGCAGGATACATGAATAAATCCAAGCGCATTTGTTAGAACGGCCCAGTCAAAGTCCAGACCTAAATCATTTTGAGAATTTTTGATCAACCTCTCGATTTAATCTGAGCTTGAGCTGTTTGGAAAAGAAGAATCAATAAAATGTCCGCCTGTAATCCGCAAAGCTGATGGAGACGTGGCCCAAAAGAGCTGCGTTACAAGGTAGGCCTAAAACTTCAGTGGGGCCGAATGCAAACGCATGCCACACTTTTCAGATTTTCTTTTATAAAAAAGTGTTTTGAAACCCCCTCCTCCCCCTCTTTTTTTTTTTTTTTTTTTTTAACTTCCCAATTCTCCACCGTGTGTTTGCCGAGTTTATTTATGTTACGGAGGCTTTTGTGTGAAAGTCGTGTTCAGCAGAGCTTCATGCTGCAAAATCCACCTAATGCTGAATCAATCCCATCATGACTGATCCAGCGGCCCGCGAGGGGGATTACCGTGAGCCCCCTTCAGCGCACGGTGCTGACACCAGCGCTGACGTCTCTATTTTTGTCCCCACAATGGTGGACTCGCCGAGAACGCCGTAGGATCAGGTTTTAGGGACGTTTTCTCAAAGTTTTTCTGCAGGTGAAGGTTTATGGTCCTCCTTGCGGACAGACCTTGAAATCGTGACATATTACTTAAAGGTCTTTTATCTCTGTGGGCCACTTTATCTGTGTTTATTGGCATTTGTTGAATTGTAGAACATCCACAGTAAAAACAGCAATAAAGCTAAATAAAGATAACAGCAAAGACGAGGAAAACATGTTATGCAGTCTTTTTAAGAAAGCATGAGAAGTGCATCATTTATTACCCTGCTTCTGAACAGCTTTGCTCCATATCGACCACATTATATACCAACTCAGTGCGTTATCAAGTCGTCCTATCTCTGGATTGTATAAGGGTTTGTTTGACCTTTGCAGTCTCGTGTTCAGTCTTGTTTTATAGACCAGATGAGACGTTGGATCCGGTTGGGTTTTGTGGTTGGGAGATTTGGCGCTCGGCTCCTCTGCGTGTGCATTTGCGAATGAACGGAGCGGAATGAAGTCTCTTGAGGTTTAGTCGTGTGGTCTTTGCCTTCGCTTCGGTCCCGACCACACGTGGATGTGTTGTTTTCATAACTGGACTCGCAGCCCTCCCTCGCATGATGTTTTTATTGTCGGTGTGCTGGGTTTGGTCTCTGAGGTCCAACTTTCGTAAACGGGAGTCTGAACCGATGAGCTGAGACGTATTTTCCTCGCTGTGTGAGGATGTTTGTGTATTTAGGGGACTAGGAAAAAAAAAATTCAGCTTCACTGTTTATTGCATGTTTATTGCATGTTGCCATAGTAACCTGCTCCTGGTTGGGTTGGATGTTATCATTTCATCTGCATCTCTATGTTGTTTGGAGTTTGTTCTGGTGTTTTCCCACGATAAATCACAACTGTTGAGAAAAAAAGTCGCATATTTTCAGTTTCTCTTATTTGCCTAGTTTTCATTGGCTGGATCGGACAGACTTTTTTCCCCTTAATGAATAAAATCCTCATTTTGCACTTTGTATTCCCTCAGGATATTTTTGCCTCGTATTAAAATTGAATTGACCATCTGAAATGTAGGTGTGACAATGAATAGCAAACAAAAGTAAATCTTTAAGGGATCAAATAATTTTTAAAACACTGGAAGAACTTTTTTCACTTAGAACTTAGAAAAATGCTTCTATTTTTATCTTTACTACGATGCTGTGTTTAACCACAATAAAGCCTGAATTGAACTGAATATATCTGTTAAATATGTATCAAATATAAAAACTAACTAAAATGCCTTTAGTTAGCCATCTAAATGTAGGACCCTATTATCTGTATTTTTATTTTTTATCAATTCCATTATATTTTTTCCTAAAATAAACATTTTCCACATCTTTCTATATCAACCCTGCGCTTTCCAAGCAGACACTATATAATACTCAAACGATAAACATATTTCTGTGGTCAATGATGGTTTGTTTGGTCGCTGGGTCAACAGATGACTAAACCTGCCGTTGTCTTCCTGACCCTCTCTGATAACAGGACATCCTGGCCTGAAGCTCAGATTCTGCTTCAGAGAGCCACTGGTTCTCCCACAGAGGAAAGTCACAAGATGCTGACTGACCAGCGGTGTGGTTCCACTTATTTTTTGAAAACAGACTTCTGTGCATAAGTTGCACAGCAGATTTCCCTAAGACGGATCGTTTCATTGAGTGGTTGCAGCTCTCTGGCTGCTGACGATACGACGTTTAACTTGGAGAGTTTGAAGTGTAAAGAAATGTCAAACGAGTCTATTTTATTTTTTCTCGGTATTTTGGTACAAATGCAGATCCGACTGTCATGTAGTACTTTGCTCTGCAAAATTATTTATGCTCTTATCTTTCCGTATTTGTTTCATGTTTTAAACTTGAACTTCTGTGGGATTTATTGTGACTTTACATAAAACGCCAACACAAAGTAGCAAACAGCTGCAGATGGAGGAAAGTGTGGTGTTATTCGTATATAAAAATCTGAAATGTGTGGCATGCATTTTTATTTAGCCTTCCTAAATAAAGGCTAAATAAGTGACAAGGTTCGGCGTTGATTGGTTCCTGGCTCGGTCCAGCTCCATTGGATGGACTGTGTCTGATAATCAGTATTTAAGTTTCCACAGAGTTTTTATTGGATTTTAGTCTGACCTTTGATTTGTCCTGCTGGAAGGTGAACTTCTTCCTCCCTGACACCTCTTCCATGTGGGTTGGTGATGTGGTCAGGACGATATACGGTGTTAGTTTTCCTCCACACATATAATTTAGGGTGTTGGCCAGAGAATGTTCTTTGAAAGACTTTCTGTGCCCCCATCATGGCAGCAAACTGGAATATTCTTTCTATTTGCCACTGTTCCGTAATTTGTTTTCTCTTGTCCATATTTTTGCTATGTTCCTTTTCCAGATTGAAGAGATGTTTAAATCTCAGGATGATGCTACATAAGCTTAAATGATGCCACAAACAGTCTAGTTGCACACTTTGTCAATACAAAAACGGGCTTCCTTGCAGTGTGTGTGTGTTTTACTGCATACAATTCAAATAAGATAAAAACAGGTTTGTGTTTGTATATGGCAACGTTTTAAAAAGTTCAAGGTGTGTGAACATTTTTACTGGGTATTGTATGTCTTGCATTGACGTGACTGTATCTCTACAGCATTTTCTGTACTCTTAGCAGGTAAATTAACATCCCCCCCATCCCCCCTCTAGATGTTTAAGGTTTATGCAGGAAAGGCGGCACGCAGCTTAATGCAAACCTTTGAACCGTAATGTAACGTGCAGTATGGGATGATGTTTACTGCTCCTCACATGTCCTGTTGCTTAACCATCAAAATGCGGCATGTAACGTCACGGCGGACACGCATGCATGAACACAAGTGGCCCGTTCAGCTCACGGTAAAGGTGGTCCCGTATGTCACAGCCTGCCTTCATCCCTGCTGTAAACGTCTCTCTTAAGGTGGTTCGGATGTCTGGAAGCTCACGGCAGCCGTGTGCTGACTGAATGAAGCCGCCCCACCTGTTGAAATGTGTTTCCATGTAAGCACGGCCGCCGTCGTGTAGATTTAGAGCTGCAGCGCAGCTGCTGTGACGGCGTTGGGTAACGGTTTGCTCTCGGACTTTGTCAATAATCCGTTTCTGTCCAACTTTTCAGCATCGAGGCAACAATCAGGGAATGTAGAGTCGTCTGTTTACAAGGCTTAGGCGCCACCTGGTGGCGGTAATCTGTCCGTTACATCACAGACTTTCGTAAGCGCAGTTCAGCAGGAAGGAGTGGCAGGAGCTTTGGCCTTCCAGAGGAATCACAGTGGATTTCAACAATACATAACTATAAAAAGCAAAGTCACCTCCTGCATCGGGATCATATCACAGGGTCATAGATTGCAACCTAATCAGAATACATTTCTCTTTGAAATGCACGCCGTCCCATTCGTATTTGTTGGTTTAATCTTCCAGAGTCAATTCAGACATAGAACAAGCGTTTTCTTATTTAAACTACTTCTTTAGAAGACTTTAATTTGTGCTTATTTTGTGTTTGTAAAGTAAATAATCAGCTTTACTGTTCTCCTCTCCATTCCAGGACTAATTTTAAAATCTTTTTTTTTGAGCATTTTCTAAGGTTCTTATCTAGTTTGGCTCAGGCTTTACATACACAGTCATTTTACATGATTATAGTGCATGTCAGTGGTCAGCAAAGATGGAGTTACAATGTGTGTGAGAGAGGCGTCTCTTTTCCAAGGTTTCCACGAGACGGCCGACGTCTCCAAACTCAGCATGTTGAGGAGAGACTGAAAGCTTGGTCACAGTTAATTCACCATTTAACATAGGCGGATAGTTACTTTTGAAAGCTTTCATTCATCCGTAAAAAATGTGAAATGATCAGTTTAATATAACTTTTTGTGTTCAGTGTTTGTTCTTAATATATATACAGAGGTTTAGAACATTTTTTTTTTTTTTTTTTTTTTTTCCCCAATACTTCAGTCCAACTTTTCTTAGTTTGTGAAACTAACATTAGAAAAGCAAAGCCTGCAGGATGTTAACAGGAACTCTGACTTCCTCCCCCGCCTGTCTGCAGGTCATCACCTGCTTCGGCCTCTCCGTGGTGTCGTGTCGCTACGTGGGATTCTCCGTGGTGGCCCTGCTGGTGGAGATCAACTCGGTGTTCCTCCACCTCCGGCAGATCCTGCGCATGGCCAGCATGGCGGCGAGCACGCTCTACCGCGTCAACAGCATCATCAACCTGGGCACGTACGTGGTTTTCCGCATCAACACGCTGGCTTGGATGACCCGCTGGCTGGTGCTCAACAGGGACAAGATCCCCCTGCTGGCCTACACGCTGGGCAGCGTGGGCATGGCCATCATGACCGTCATGAACATCATCCTCTTCTGCCGGCTGCTCAGGAGCGACTTTTTAAAGACCAGCACCCGGGAGGCCAAGAAGGAGAAGGAGATGTAGAACTGCGCTCTGTTAGGACCCCGGTGGCTCGGATCCAGCGCTCGTTTAAGAGACGGAGATCTGTGCTGCAAATGTCGCCGGACCTCCTCTGACCTCGCTGGAGGAAACTTCTTCCCCCTCAGCTGCGGGTTTTGGCATTAGAGCTTGTGTGCTTCACCTCATGAAGGACATAAGTCCTGTAAGTCCTGTAAACGTGTTGCCTACCAAATGCCTTTGGTAGGCCACCTTTTAAACAGATCCTCACACAGCCACTGGGAACAGAAAATGTAAAATATCTTTAGTAACATCATAAATGTATCACTTAATCCATCTAGTTTGCTTTAAACACATCATGCTGTTGATTTTTTTTTTTTTTTTTTTATTATGTTTTTACCCACTGAGTAGATAAATCAGTAACGCCCTCTTATGGTTTGACTTTGGCACTGCAGAGGTGAATGTGTTCTCCGCCAAATGTCCTCAACTAAAAACCGCCTGCTACCTCAGAACTGGTTGCTAGCTCTCCCGCTTTGCTGACAGTGTTGATCACTTTGTTGAAAATCTACGAATGACTTGAATCAAAAACGTACGCGCGGTGCCCGCTCTCCACAGGTAATTTCAAGCCTTTTAAAAAAAAAGACCTTAGGATAATTTCCTCTCGTCTTTGCTGCGTTTCTCCAGCGATGAGCTTTGTTTGGTCCTTGTTGTTTCGCGCTCTCAGATGTTTCAAGCTTTATTTTTTTTACTCTGACTCTGGATATGGGCAGGTTTAGTCGAGCACTGATTTTCGTGTAATCATTTCCCGACTCGCAGAACAGAAATATGCATCTCCCTTTCTCGAATGGCTTGTATTTCCCATTTTGAAGAGTGGCTTGGAGAAAATGAGCCTTTCTGCCATCTTTATACTCCAGAGACGGAGAAAGTCAAGACTTGGTATAAGATAGATCCCCAGTGATATATATCTGTTTTTATGCCATTCTGGACATGAAGGTGCAAAATATTAATCATAAATATCTTTAATAAAAGTCTAAATCACGATGCTACACTGATTAAATAAAGTTTTGATTGTTTATTGTAGTGTGGAGCACAGTTAGCAAACTTTTATTACCTTAACTTGGTTTGCAAAATCTCCAGTTTAAGCTGAATTTAAAATCTACACGAGTCGTAAAATTATATTTTTACTTATTTTTCAAATTATTTTGCATTCAGACTAGATATAAAACTGAACTAAACCGATGAGTTGAGTATTAAAATTACAGTCAGATGTGGCAAGTGAACAATAAAGGTTGCAAAAATCAATGTAAATAAACAATAATAGATTTTTTTTTTGTCCTTTAGAATCAAAGACGGAAAGAAAAAAGTCTGGAATATCAAAAACATTTAACTGATTCAAATTATAGAAGAAAATTAGCTTTTTTTTTCCCCCCAGGCTGCTCAGGAACCCTGTTTTTTTGTTTGTTTTTTTTATTAAATGAAGGTTGGACTTTTCTAAATTTTCTTGTGAAATCCAAGATGCATTTGATTTGGGCATTTTTACACACCTTAAAATGTGGAGAGCGCCACATTTAACCTTAATGTAGAAGTAGAGCTTCTAGAACAGGAACGATTTCAGGAGAAGTGCTTCAAACAATAATTTAAGTTTCCTTCATGAGCAATAAATCAAATGACTTGATGGTGGATAAGAGCACGGCACATGCTAGCCAAGTCAACGCTACGGCGTTTGCAATGAAGAAAGAAAGACTGACAGAATAAAAACATCAATATTAGATTTTAACTCTAAAAGTTGCTTTGAATAATTAAGCCAACATCTATCAGATTTTAAATGAAGGGATTCTGACCCACTTTCAGTGGGAATCACTGGAGTAACAGAAATGACTTTATTAAACTTTAATAGCTTTATAGGCAAATTAAATGAGAATTTCACCAGAACATTGTGGATTAGAGCATGACACTCCGTAGCGAAACTTTCATAGCTTTTATTTATTTATTTTTCGACTAATAAGGAATATTCAGGAAAAAAATTAGAAGGAATTGTATCTTACTGCCTGACGAATTAGCACTGGCAAAAAAAAAAAAAAACAACGCTCTTCGGGGGTTTTGACTCAACAGCCAGTCACCGGGTCTCCTGTTTCCATCTGTAAGCACACTTAAACCCAGTGAAATAGGAGCAAAATACGTGTGCTGTACTGCGAAATACCATTAGTAGATGTTCATGTTTGGTAAATTATTGTGCTGTTAAGTGCAGCGGTGGGTTTCGGTCTGCAGTAGGAGCTTTCAGACAGACGGGAGTCCCCGTTCTCCACAGATAGGACATTTCTGAACGCCACCTCAGTGACCTCACACAGCCAAGACCAATGTGTGTGTATTTTGTAACATTTTTATATATATGTGCCATCCTGCCTTTAATCTGAAGGATGCTGATAAGCCCCAATGGATATATTTCTGAGTTAGAGAACAAACATGTCTGAGATCTGTCAATACAGCAAACTGAGCTGCCTACTCTTCCAACTCTAATCATTGCAGTTTAATTTTATCCTTTATAAAAATGCCTATTTTATTTTTATATTTTTCCTTTCTGAATCATCAGTGTTTGCTTAATTGTATACGTTTGTAATTTATTTCTGCTAATAAGTTTTGGATTAAAACTGTAATTGATGTGGTATCTAAGGTTTCCTGTTGTGAAAAGAAAAGTTTATTATGATGATTTTTTTTTTAACTGACTGTAACATTGAGCTTTATGTGAGTTCAGATCAAATTTGTGAACATAAGGCGAAAAAAAAAAAAATTTAATCACCATATTACAGACAGCAGCTGTAATGAAATGGACTAAAAGTTTAATCTGAGCACTTAAGATTTCTGCTGATTAGGAAGTATAAACACGTCTTCAGTGTCGCTCCGGGTTTGTTGACGCTGATTACAACAATTTCATAAATATGTGGAAAATATTTCCCTATTGATTTGCCCTTTTTTTATTTTATTTTTCATATATATATTTTTTTTGTTTCAGGGCAGCTTTTGTGGTTGTAGTGAAGACGATTGGTGTCATTGAAGTTCTCTTTGAAAAGCTGAGGTGACGTGTGCGTCTTGTAAAACTGCACTGATACTGTTTGTTCTCTGTGCTTTAATGAGTTGTGATTAGTTAAGTTTTACTCTCATTTTAACGACATTAGCCATAGCGACCCATCTTCTGGCTCCTTCCTGTTCACAAGTAACTTTCTTTTTTCTCTTGGCTTTAATTTCCAAATGCAACTCCAACCAGGCTGCGAGATGATGCTCTGTCTTCAGGTTTTACAGTTGCCATATCAACAAAATGGCCTCATGTTCCTCTTCACGCACAATAAACCTCAGCTAATCCACATCTGAGCTCCATTATTTAAAAAACTTGAAGAGATCCATCATATTTTTCCACAATACGATCTTCTTGATTCACCCGTACGCTTTTATTCTTTACAGCTTAGTGAAAACAGAGAACTGACGATTAACACTGTACAGCTTTTCTGTGATTTCTATCCATTTTCTTTAAAAGGTAAACTCAGAAAATGGAGGAAATCAAGACCAAGCTCTGAAAGCAGCATCTTTCACCTTCAGATCACTCCTATTAAACTCTGGTGTTTAACTGTAACTGTGTAAATATAACAGTTTTATTTTTTCATGTTTTGGCAGATTTTGTTTTGTAACTGCAGTTCCTGTTTATATATATTCAGTATGTTTCAATAATATAATTGCTTAACATGGCAATAAAGATGAGAGGAAAAAAACTTGGCTCTGGTTTTCCTGTTTGCAGAGGAAACAGGATGTCACATCAAGCAGAGGGCAGCGTCACGAAAACAACGTTTTACCTATACCCCCCTCTAGTGGTAGAATTGTTTTATAACACTTATTTTTCAAGTTGTAATGCTAAAGTTACAACTACACATCTATTTACTCAGTGTAAATTAACCCAATCTAGATATTTCTGGACTGTGAGGGAAAGCTGAGTCCCCTGTTAAAATATTACTTATTAAATGTAAAATTTTCCAGTTTCTTGTTATGTTATCATTAGCTTTTGTTCTGCACTATGAAAAGCATGCATGTATTTTCAGAGTTTTGACTTACTTAAAGGCAACACTTACTAATTAAAATCTCATTGAAAGAAAACAAAAACCCAGAAATATAAAAATGTAAATTCTCCTGCATCCCATACATATATTTACTGTATCTTATGGGACATATCAAAAAGTGACGGCAACACTGATTTTGATCATTTCTTTTGTGCACGTTATATAATTTTTATAATTATGAAAATCATAATTAAAGACGAACAAGAACTTATACGTTTCTCTAATTTGTCACCTCTTAAATTTCAGCTTAAGTAAATTAATTATTTTTATAACAAGAAAAATAACAGAAGAATAAGTAGGTTATTCTCAACCCATATGCTGGTAGATTTATAGTGCATATAAAATATATTTGACTATAGCTGAAACCCATTAAATATAAAGGTCTAAAGACATTTAAAAAACATTTGTTTTTTTCTGCTTCACTTTAGTTCAGTCTGCTCTTAGTTATTTTACTGATATTAATTTATTTAGATTAATTTTTTCATCTAGATTTGATTTCTCAGTTCCCTGTTTGCCTTCGCCGACCTTCCGCTCTCTCCCCTCACACCTGCAACCTGTTAATTAATCAGCCCCGGTCCATCCAGCAAAACTCTCCCAGTATTTAGACACCTCCCTTTCTCTCAGTCCTCACTGGTGCCTGCTTCGGCTCCCACCCAGTATTCTCGTTCTCTCTTTTTCTTCTTCTTTTTGTAAGTCTTTGCTTAATTACTATTCCATTAAAATCTCACCGTCAAACTTGCCACCTACCTTCGTCTTCATTTAGATCCAGTTGTGGTATTAATACACAAATACCACAACTGGCAATTTAAAAAAAAAAAAAAAAAAAAAAAAAAACACCTTTTTAGCAAAAAATGTTTTTAAAAAAAACCACACAAAAACACACAAAAAAAAAAAAAGCCGTA